TTACAGACTGTGAGCCCTACAACCTACTGCCGCCTGAATGCTGCTGTGCCAATTCTTCGATTGTATTTCGAAGATGGATCTGACCTCCGTCCAAACCTCTGGCTTTCACGACAGTCCATCATGTCCCTCATCGCTGCTTTGAAGTGAGATTCTGACCATGGCTAGGAAAAAGATGCTGAGGTGCTGGTGTTTCTCTACTGGCTGGCCCACGCAGCATCGTACAGGCTGGTGTCACTGGGCTTTGACATCCCAAAGTCCACGGTGTATGACATTGTGCACAGAATCAGCAGAGCAGTCATCAGTATTTTGAGGGGGCTGATCGCTTTCCCGACCCCGGATGACCTGGAGGCAGTGGGGGCAGGTTTTGCCCAGCTGGCTGGGTCTCCAGTTTTCCACATGGTAGCTGGTGCAATTGCCAAAGGCTCATTTACAAAATAGAGTAATTTATTGTTATAAATAAATGCATAAAAATACACAGGACAAACAAAAGACATGAATCAATGAATAAACTTGAATACATAATACACAATTTGATAAATAGAGAGAGGGAGAGAAGGAATACATACAATATACATAGCCTAAATAAATATTATAGATAGATAAATAAATAATATACATATTCTTATATATATATATATATATATATAGACACACATTTACAGACTGTGCTCTTGGACACTGCTGTCAACTATGACCCCATAATATGGGGCGTGGTTTGTAACATGCAAGTGATGCCCCATGATATTGTAATAGGAAGCTGTTCCACTCTGTTCAGCTGCAGGCCATCACTGACCACAAGGGGAAGTTCCTCGATATCTTTGTTGGATATCCCGGGTCTGAAAAGCACAATATCAAGACAGTCAATTACATTCATTAGATTACTGCATTAATATGACATGGAAAAACATTAGCATGATCAAATCATGAACTAAAAATTTTTTGGGGTGAACTAATTAAAAATATATATCTTACTTTATATTTTTGTTTTAGGCTCTCCCACTTTCTTTTGACTTGAGCGGTAGAAATTTTGCCCTCAAGTCCCTGCTCTGTCACAATAAATGCATAAAAAGAAGGCAGTAAGACCTTTGCTTGAAGTGTTAGTATTTACTACGTTCAGTGTCAACAGCACCTGAATAAAAGCACATTTTACATAACTTGTTTACTTACTCAAAACCTTTGATGGCAGCATTACGCTTTACAATGAAGGGCTTCATCAGCCATTGGAGTGTGTTCATCAGTCCCTGTAATGTCAAAGCAGTAACCATTAGTCATTATCAATCCATTAATGCAACATTGACAAGCTGTGGCATATTTATTAACAGTAACTTGGTATGTAGCTAACAAAATATCAACTAAATATTAGTAAAAGAGGGGGAACATTTTTTTTAAAGTCCGTGGAATTTTCTAATCTCATTAAACTGCTTCCGTTAAAAAAAGCAGTTAACAAGCTGTTGTACAACAGCATTGACACTAGCTCGATCTGTTCGTTAACTTGATGTGTTCAGTAATAACAATGATTAAACATCTTTTTACAGCCGATTCACGAAATCATCTCATCGATTTACAATGTTTAAACTTTCAATAAGTCAGCCGTTCACTTAGATCATGTTAAACAATTGCAGTTTAACCACAATGAACAACGTTTTTCCCTGAGGTACTTACTCTTGAAAAGAGCCGCCCCGCCGCCTTCCACCATTTTCGAATATGACACCTCCTCTCCCGTGGCCTCATGGGATAGTAAAGTGTCCATCGTATGCATGCTACAGAATTCGGGCGGAAGTAGTAGGTCATCCGGGTACTTCTAGCCTACTGTTTTTCGAATACTATGAATTCGGACATACTACTCGCCTCGCATACTGTTTTTCGCCTACTATATAGTATGGAAGTATGCGATTTCGGACGCAGCTCTGGTGTCTGTCATCCTGTGCTGATCCATTTCTCATTGTGTGTGTTTCGTGTCTGCATGTGGTGCAGCTTTAGGCCTGCCTGTCTGTTTTCCCCCCTCGGGGTGGTTTGAGTTTGTTTTTGTTTCATTTTTATTATTAAAATAAATAACCATTTCCATTCAACCATTCCACACACCGTGACAATGTGTAATAAGCATGCTTTAAGTCCTGGTGTCCTCTACAGTGGACATATATTAAATTGATGTCCTGTTTCATAACAGAAGGTCATATTTTGATTTGAAACCCCATAACATTTTCCTGAGATGTTGATTTATGACAAACAATTTGAAAATGAGTCAGATTAAAATGATAATTACAAACTATTATCATATTTCCATAAGGGTGTTACACTTGAGCACTAAATTAATGTCAGACATTTTTTAAAGACCAGGGAGAGGGAGTGGTCATGGTGAAACATCCAATCATTTGGTATCTCTGAAAAGCCCTGAATGTGCTCTGTACAGGACATCCAGACTTAAAACTGTGATATGTAAGGTCTCAGAGAAATCGCTAAAACATAATGTAACTGCAGATGAGCTGAAGGCCACTGTCAAAGAAACCTGGGCTTCCATACCACCTCAGCAGTGCCACAAACTGATCACCTCCATGCCACGCTGAATTGAGGCAGTAATTAAAGCAAAAGGAGCCCCTACCAAGTATTGAGTACATGTACAGTAAATGAACATACTTTCCAGAAGGCCAACAATTCACTAAAAATGTTTTTTTTATTGGTCTTATGAAGTATTCTAATTGGTTGAGATAGTGAATTGGTGGGTTTTTGTTAAATGTGAGCCAAAATCATCACAATTAAAAGAACCAAAGACTTAAACTACTTCAGTCTGTGTGCATTGAATTTATTTAATACACGAGTTTCACAATTTGAGTTGAATTACTGAAATAAATGAACTTTTCCACGACATTCTAATTTATTGAGATGCACTTGTATGTATGTGTATATATATATATATATATATATACACACACACACACACACATATATATTTAGGCTCTGACTCTGAATATATATGACTTTTGTAGTCTACAGTTGTGATTACAGGAATATCTTAGTTCCATACATAGTTCCATACATTACTTACCGTTGTCAGGATTCTGGACTGTTCTGTGTCGTGTTTTGCCCCTGTTTCTGGTCCTGTGTTTCCTTATTTGGTCCTTCCTGGAAAATTTGCTCTCTTTTTGAAAATGTTTGTTTTTTTATTTTTCTCCCTAAAACAGAGGCTGTTTGTGAGGGCGCTCACAACAGTTTCTAGAACAAATATACTGCCACAGGCACCCGGAACCAAACGGGGTGCTTGAGGGCACAACAGAGGCTGTTTTGGGGGTGGTCCGGCGCTGGCGAGACTTTGCCCCCTCCTCTTCCTGCCCAGCAGATCAGGATGACACCTGAGGCACAGGATCCAACGTTAGCTTGGGCCGGGGTCCTTGGCGCTTCGGAAATGGGTAGCGTCTGGCCAAGCAAGACCGCTGTCGGGGCTCAAGTTTTTTTTTCAGGGCGACTGGTAGCCATTGCAGAGCTGGAGTGCTTAGGCAGGACGTGCCACATTGCTTGGGACAACTTCTGTGCTGCTGTAAAATGCTCTGTAAATCCCTCAATGGTGGGTTCAAACAGTCCCGATGGCCTGTGCTGTAGCCTTCGTAGCTCGCAAAGCCAGGTCTGTTGCACTGCACAGCTCCTTGAAGGGTGCGGGGTCGGGTCCGGACTCGTCCATGACTTGGATGAGTTTGGCCTGAAAGACCTGGAGCACGGCCATGGAGTGCAGAGCTGAGGCCTCCTGCCTGGCGGAGGAGTACGCTCGTCCAGCGAGGGCAGACGTTGTTCTGCAGGGCTTGGAAGGGTGAGCGACCTTCACTTTCCATCCAATGGCAGTGGGTAGGCAGAGGTGTGCAGCCACTGACTCAACGAGAGGAGGCAGTTTTTCGTAGCCTCTTTCATCAGCGCCATCCACTGAGGAGAGTGCAGAAAAAGAGGATGTGCAAAGGTGAGCCGAGTAGGGAGTGCGCCACGAATTCGTGAGCTCGTCATGGACTTCCGGGACAAAAACGGGGAGGCTCGCTGACGAGGGGCGGCGCCCCGGCAGGAACCATTCGTCCAGATGGCTACGAGTGGGCTCCTCCGGCATAGACCACTCCAGTCCCAGCTCTTCGACTGCTTTAGAGAGGACACGGTAAAGTTCAGTGTCCATCCCTAGCTTGGCGTCACTGGGATCTGCAGATGGCAAAGGGGCGGGGTCAATAATAGAGTCCGACATCTCCTCCACATCTGATGCTATTAAAGACATGCTGTCATCTAATAGCTCGTCCTCTATTACACTGAACAAGACCATGTCGCTCGCATCCGCCGAGGGACGCTGGTCTGAGTGTTCAAAGAGAACGGGCGAGGGTGAGGCATGCGGGATCTGGGCCGGCATGAGCTTGCTCGTAGCTGAGCAATCAGTCCCCTTGCCCTACTGTTTTTTCCTCACAGGTCCCTGAGAGAAAGAAAGCGGGAGGGCGCGAGGGGCGGAGTCGTTCTCTGAAAAGAATGCAATCTGAGTGCGCAGAGAGGCGAGACTCATGTTCACGCAGTGAATACATCTCAGTCAGAGAGGCTTCTGTGTGGGGTTTGCCCAAACAGGAAATGCACTCTGAGTGGCTGTCATCAGCGTGCAGTGCAATCCTGCACAAGCCGCAACGACGGCGCGGCATTTGAAACAATGCCGCTGCTATTTTAGTAGTGAAAATTGGCTTTTTTAGGCTCGCCGGATGGCGGCAGGGGACGAGCTGGTGTCTGCGCCGAATGCTGAAGGCGGCTCGTAGAACGGGCGGGAACAGCAGAGAGGAGCAGAGGAAAAGGCAGCTTCTGTCCGCAGCGAGGCGTGTCAGCGGCGAGTGCTTCAAGTCCCGTAGATCAGTAAAGGGAAGATAATCGTCGCTGAAGGAGAATTGATCTGAGATCCTAGGGCTAGGGCTCTGCTGCCGAGCCATTGGTTCGTTTTTTATTTACTGCACGAACCAATGGCCGTGCAGTTACACTGCGTGATTGTAAAGGCTTCAGTCCTCAGACAAAAAGGAGTTTTCCCCACGGTGTCTAGTGACGCAGTACGAGTGAAGTATCGAAAGGGAACCTATTCTGGGAAGCCAGATAAGTCACCTGACTTGAGTTTTATCAAACTACTGTGGACAGTTTTGGAAGGAAGAGTGAGAAGCAGATTTCCTTCTTCAACATCTCTGAAGTAACTGGCAACATTCAGCTGGAGACTGTTCCAAAGTTATATGAGTCTATTCTAAGAAGGTTGGAAGCTGTATTGAAGACAAATGGTGATTGAAAAAAAATTCATAGTCATTTTAGTACGGTGACCGAGAAGTGCAAAACAAATCACAATTCTGAAAACAAAATAACAAATTACAAACGCAAATGCAAGTCTAAAAAACAAAATAACAATTCAGAAAAAACAACAACAGTTCAGAAAACATTATAACAAGTCAGAAAACACAATGACAAATTTGAAAACAAAATAAGTCAGAAAACACAACGACAAATCCGAAAACAAATTAACAAGTCAGAAAACATAACGACAAATCAGACAAACCGGAAGAGGTAGGTATAGTTTGAGACAGCGCCATTGGTTTGGGATTACTCACCACTGACTGGACGAGACATCTGTCAATCAACGTATACAGGAAGAACCAGCCGAAGAACAGCAGAGTCGTGGTAGAAAGTTCGGAGATGGTATTAAAGTAGCTCAGTTTAAATGTATTGTATGAATTGCCCTTACTATGGAATAAAAAATACGGAGTGTATATTTAAATTTAGTTAAAAGTGGTTGTAAAACATCAGCTCCAGTGATGGATAAGCGCGTGTCATTGACTTTTTGACGCGATCGACCCGGGTTCGATCCCACCTTTTGCCGAACTTTTTTCTTTCCTCCCTTTTCAAATCTCGTATCACATCGTAAATGCATTTATTTTCAATAAAAATTAAGGAAATAATCAAAAAGTTGAAAATAAAGTATCGGGTAGGGTTAGGGTAGGTGTAGGGAGGGCTTTGTTGTACCAATAAGGTGGCATCCATTTAATAATTAAAATTATAATTTGCACTCAATACTTTATTGCATATTGTTTTATAATGTACTACAATACTGAAGTGCAGATAATTGCCACTATTTGCAACAAGTAGTATACTTGATGGTAGAAATCCTGCTATTTTAACATAGTGTAAATAGGTATTTTCACTTAGTGTAAATAGAATCCATTGCTAATACGAGATTTGAAAAGGGAGGAAAAAAAGTTCGGAGCTAACGATTTACAGCCACTTTTAACAATGTAAATAGACACCCCGTATTTTTTATTCCATAGTAAGGGCAATTCATACAATACATTTAAACCGAGCTACTTTAATACCATCTCCGAACTTTCTACCACGACCTGTATATGTTGATTGACAGATGTCTCGTCCAGTCAGCGGTGAGTATTCCCAAACCAATGGCGCTGTCTCAAACTATACCTACCTCTTCAGGTTTGTCTGATTTGTCATTGTGTTTTCTGACTTGTTAATTTGTTTTCGGATTTGTCGTTGTGTTTTCTGACTTATTTTATTTTTCGAATTTGTCATTGTGTTTTCTGACTTTTTATAATGTTTTCTGAATTGTTGTTGTGTTTTCTGAATTATTATTTTGTTTTTTAGTTTGTAATTTGTTATTTTGTTTTCAGAATTGTGATTTGTTTTGCACTTCTCGGTCACCGTATTTTAGTATGAATTTAGCACAATTTTTTAATATA